GTCCCGCCTCGCCCCACGGCGCCCACACGTCAGGCCCGTGGGTGCCGGCAGCCGGGGAGCGGCTGCAGGACCCGGCCCCACGGCATCCACGCRCTCGAACACCCCCACGTGCCCTGCCAGCCCCTGCCCTCCGCACGGCTACGCGCCAGGGGCCTTCACACGTCCCACAGCCACTGGAAACCGCTCAGAAATAAGGCGAGCTGTGGATCCAAAGGGCATTAAAGCAAGGAGCACCCGCTGCTCCTGCCCGTGGGCATTGGGAAACCACCTTTGCCAACTCTCCACATTGCACAAAACGCATTTTGACAAAAAAAAAATGCAATTCCTCGTCACCACCCATAACTTCCTTAGCTATTTACAGAGCACTCCAGTCTCTGGAACCCTCTCCCATCGCTGGCACAGACACATCACACAGGCAGGAACACACTGAGATGTTTGTGGTGGGCGAGCACCAAGCTCCAGCAGCGCACCRAGACAGCTGCTCCACGGCTTGCTCACCTGGTCTGCAGTCCCTTGTAAAACACCGGTCAGCAGCCCAGGGGAGCTGGCAGGAGCTGCCCCAGCAAGGAGGTGACCCCAAGGCACAGCCAGCACCCAGGGCCGTCCCGCCTCGCAGCACCCGCCTTCACAACGGCGGCGGCGGCAGACGCAGCCTCCAGCGGGCAGCTCTGATGGCTGRTTTCCAACGAGCTCCAAAAACAAGGTGTGGACTGCCATCCACAAGCGTCTTTCTCAGAACGTACCCGCCTAAGGCCTGGATGAACCTTAATCCAAATCTGCCCTTGGACGTTCAGCTGACTTGAAGTTCAAACCATGCCCCATGCAACTYCACAAACCCAGCCAACACGGGAACAAGAGTGACAAATCATCTTCCCCTCACATAAGTAAATAAATAATAACAATAAAGATTCATAAAATCATTGTGGTTGGAAAAGATCTTCAAGATTGAGTCCAACCATAAACCCTTCAACACCATACCTGCTAAACCACATCCCTAAGTGCCTCTTCTATCCATTGCTTGARCACTGCCAGGGACGGTGACTCCACCATTTCCCTGGGCAGCCTGTTCCAATGCTTATCCCTCTCTCCATGTAGAAATTCTTCCTGATATCTAACCTGAATTTCCTCTGGCACACCTTGAGGCCATTTCCTCTTGTCCTATGGGTAGTTATTCTGGAGAAGGGACTGACCCCCTGCCTCCCTACAGCCTCCCCTCAGGTAGTGGGTGATAAGGTCTCCCCAAGCCTCCTCCAGACTCAATAACCCCTCAGTCGCCCCTCACGAGCTCTGTGCTCCAGCCCCTTCACCAGGTTCCCTCCTTCGGACTCRCTCCAGCACCTCAGTGTCAGATCAAGGCCTCCGCCCAGCCAGTGTCAGTTTTGATAAGTCAGGAACAAGTTCTGTGGCATACTGTGAAAGAAAACCTCAGAAATACAGCAAAAGGAGCATTATTTTTAAATTAAGTGACTAAGATTTACTGGGCATTCGTCACAGTACAAATATTAAATGACTACACTGCTCATTTTTTCCACACACATTTTGCTGTAAATTATGAGGCAGTGAACTTGKGAGTTTGCTTCCAGAGTGGAAAATGCACCAGATTCCCTAAGTATCCTTGGCATGTCAGTAATTTCTCCCATAGATAYTGGGCAGCACAGGGAAAAACAGACACTAACACGCAATCAAGTGATACTGTAGACAATAGAATTACAATTTTAATGGAAGCTAACGGGCTGACTTTTTGATAGTGCAATAAAACTGGAGTGAATCCGCACTATGACATTTCCCATTTAGAGGAAATATCCTCTTTCACTGTGTGGATGTGTCCTTAGGAAAATGGGTTCAAAAGGCAGAAGGATTTTTAGACTAAATAGCATCTGCTCTCTTGGATCCTCTAAATCCCTTTAGATCAGTCTAGGCCTTTTCAAGTTTTTCAAATCACCATTTCCACAATTTTTCTATTGAAAGTGTGAACACAGCTGGAGAGATGAGAAAAAAATAGGGCCTCCCTCACGAGTTTACACAGCTCAAGTAGCTTTTCTTAKTTACCTTTTATGCACCTCTTTTATGGACTTCTTGGAAGGACTCTACAGTCTACTGTGGGTGTATAAAGCACATATTGAAAATCCTGATGATAATCCACTTTCTAAGCATGTTCTTCTCCTGAAGCTCCTGAATTCACTGACAGTTCCCAAAGGAAGCGGTATGTCATCAGGGACAGGGCTCCCTTGATCACCTGGACACCCCTAAGATTATGATCAGGATATTGGCCCCTTTTCCTATTTCATGGCAGTGAATGTTTTAGTGTGGTCATCTATTTGGGCTGCTGTATTTTGCCTTTCAGGCACATCTTTGGMAAACATTGGCTGGGTGGTCAAGCAAAGGAAAACCCCATTAAATGCTTGTGTCGTTCCTAAACAGGAATATCTTAATAGGTCCCTTCCAACCTTGAAGATTCTGTGGAAATTTTATTCCCCTAAGCCATATGTTTTGTTCTTCTTATGTTGAAGATCACAAGACTTCTTGAAGTCCTGAGAAGGACTTTGTTTTCTATAAATTTCTATAAATTCTACTTTTTCCGTACTTGTTTCATTCCAGCGTGGCCCAGTTTAACATGCACTAAGACCTGACAAAACTAACTTGAGTTTTTAATSTTATGTTCTCCTGATTTGGAAGGGGTGGCCATATTGCAGTTATTAATAACCTACTAGTTAAAAGCAAAATATAACAAGGAGCAATTCCTTCAGTTATAAGCATATTAGCCTGCCTTTCTAGGGTCAAGCACCAGCACCACAGAGCTTAGGCACGGACTAGTTCTTCGTAACCAGCCTAGGTGACGATCAGAGCAGCCTCGCAGAATCCGTGGTAGCAGTTTTTGGTCAAGAAGATGACATTCAAGAAAAGGTCAAGAATAAATTGGCAGTTTCCTTACTTGAACATCTGTTGATGAGCAGTTGAACATCTGTAACAGTGTACCACATTAAAAACGTGCATTGACATCAAACCATGAAGGAAATGCAGTATTATAAAGAGACAGTGAAAGCAAAGAGTCAGAGCTACCAGCCTCTTAAACCTGTATTTAGAAGTAGATGACACCAATTTTCTTTTCTAGCAGCCATAAACCAAACTTACAGGCTATGTCCTTCTGGTTCTTGTTAGCAGCCTCTTGCCTTCTCCTGGGGATGAAGGATCTTTCACAGCAGCAAGAAATGCAGAATAAACATGAAGGAGAAGCAAACCTTTTTCTTAAAGTCAATTTACACTCTCTCCATATCCGAATGGAGGGTCGTATTTTAACACACCCAAACCCTTGAACTCCCACTTTCAACATACGCACATGGAGAGGAACATCCTTCCAGAACAACCTCTCTTATACCCCGCAGGGAGCTCCTGGCCAAAGCCCACGCTCAGGCCTCCAGGCCACCATCACCACGTCAAGAGGCAGCACCTGTAACGAGCAGCCCATCTGCCTCCTCCCACCCACCCACGCACCCATGGATTACTGACTTGCAGCTCCAGGAAATAACAAGGCCCCCTTTCCTTACCATTTYCAAGACCGTTTCATCTCTGGGCCATAAACAAGATACCTTGTGGACCAGGAGATGGTTTTAAGTGGGGGGAAAGGAAGGAATATCTCAAGAAAAGAATAGAGATTACAGCTCAACGCTTTCTTTACCAAAACTTCCTCTTCACCATGCGCTAGGGTGGGCAGCACATTAGCAAACCCCTTTTCACTGAAGCACTGCAGCAAAAACCCTTCAGATGACCAGGGAACAGGAGGTGACTCACCATTCTCCACTGGGCTRATTGTAGATCTCTCCAAAAGGAGAGACGATTTGCAGCGGGCAAKGCCCCATGCTAAACTACTTGCATTCAATAGGGAATTGGTAATGATGAWCTAATTCAGCTGTTTGCTGGTTTCTCATGAACTGCAGAAGCCAACCTCCTCTCTCTTCACATTTAATACTAGACTTACCCATGTCTCCTCTTCCTCCATCTCATGCTACAGATGGATAGCTGCAGGTTACCCGGATAGCTTGTCCCACCAGCTGTCTTCATTTGGCTCTTTCCCCTTATGTTTGGCATAGCAATGTATGGGCAGGAGGGAAGTGGAGATGAGATCCCAGGTTCTGCAGGTGAGATGCCAATTTGGTAATTGCCCACAGATGTGTTTCTGTGGGGCCTTGAGAGGATACACATGAACTGAGGGCAGGCATGCTCTTCCTATGGGCCATCTGACACCTAAAATCCCTCTCTCTCTCTTTTTTTCTTTCTTTCTCCCCAGCAAGGATTTCACTTTGCGTGGCCACTATCAGCTGGTGTCAGCAGCAGTTTTTCAGCTATAGCTGTAATTCCCCCCCGGGTGTAGACATGGGTGTTCCTCTGATTGCATCAGTTGTCCCCTTCCTAGTTGTGATCTTGGCTTTCCTCTTTCTTTAGTAGAAATTGATCACAGCATGGTTGGGGTTGGAAGGACCTCTAGAGATCATCTAGTCCAACCCCCTGCTCCAGCAGGGACACCCAGAGCACGGGGCACAGRGCGGCATCCAGGTGGGTTTGGAGACCTCCAGAGAAGGAGACTCCMCAGCCTCCCTGGGCAGCCTGTGCCAGGGCTCTGTCACCCTCACAGKGAAGAAGTTCYTCCTCACATGRASATGGAACTGCCTGTGTTKCARCTTGTACCCATTATCCCTTGTTGAGTATGGAGTTGACCATCAGCATCCAACACTGAGAAGAGTTTGGCCCCTACATTTTCCCCTCCAGAATTTGTACACATTAATCAGATCCCCTCTCAGTCATCTCTAAACAGACCCAGCTCACTTAGTCTTTCCTCATACGAGAGATGTTCCAGTTTCTTAATCATCTTTGTTGCTCTCCACAGGATCCTCTCTAGAAGCTCCACATCCCCCTTACACTGGGGAGCCCAGAACTGCCCCCAATACTCCAGGTGTGGCCTCACCAGAGCTGAGGAGAGGGGCAGAATCACCTCCCTCCACCTGCTGGCAACATCCTCCTGATGCAGCCAGGATCCCACTGGCCTTCTTGCCCACGAGGGCACACTGCTGACTCATGGTTAACTTGGTTAGCTTCTCCATTAGGACTCCCAAATTTCCCCAACTATCCAACTTAATAGTTGATGGTCATTGCTCACATGCCTCAAATGCACATGTCATCGCCCCTTGCCTGTTCTCTCTTACTTCTCTGTGTGTGCCTTTTCAGGGAGAACTTGACTGTTTCAGCACTCAGGAGGCTGGGTTATTTTTATTATACTGACCGACAGGGTTGACCTTGCCTCTATACAGCAATGTGAAGGCTGCACATGAGAAGGAAGGGGAGATTTACAGCAAGGCTCATGTTTGGGTGCTGAAATTGAAGTCTGCTCCRGGCCTCATGACTGGTTTTGTCACTTTTTTTTTTTTTTATTTTTTCTCCTTTGCTCCTCCATGAAATTACAATATAGCAATCTGACTCACAAAGGTGTTTGAAGGTTCAAGTATCTGTATACAAAATCTTGGGAGAGACAAGACTTTCAATTTTTGATGYGTTAGCCTTGCAGTGGTAGCTTCAGGAGAGGCAGAGAGCATTTTCCTGCTAAGCTTCAGCCAYGGCCTGTTTCTTCTACAGAACCTGATCTATGGTGACTATATCACAGGAACAATTGTGCTGTAGCAGCACAAGTCTGCCCTTCTGATGAGTCATTTCTGTATGTGTTAAAAAGATTGAAGCCTGCATACGTCTGTGTCACTGAAGGAGGGAGGGCAGAGCATCTTGTGGTTAAAAACATGCACCCAAAGAAGTCAGTGAGGCAAATAAAGCCAGTACTGAAGAGCTTGTCAAGGAAACGGTGCTTCCAGCACAGGCTCGGGTCTCGAAGAATGGTAACTATCAAGCTCGTTTCATCAGAGATGCCCAAGGATTTGCATAAACAGGAAATCCAGTTGGAGAGGTGAGAAATTTAGTTAATGTAGTTGTTGATACGGCTCTTGAGCCTTTTGTTTTGCCACAATCTGCTTTAGAAACATTCAGGATGTTTTGGAAAAACATACAAACTAAATTTAAAAAGCTCTATTGAGTCTGGAGTCAGAACCAGTAGGAACAGGATCAGCAGAGGCCTTAGCCACATGGATGTCATCATGAAAGCRTAACAGGTCAAGCTTTCCTGTGTAGAAAACTAGAGCTCTTGATGTAAGCTCTGCTTACATAAGCACACAAATGACATCAACGTTACAAAATGCAGATGATCCCAAGCTGGGTGGAGTGGCCGACACTCCGGAGGGCTGTGCTGCCATCCAGAGGGACCTGGACAGGCTGGAGAGTTGGGCAGAGAGGAACCTCATGAGGTTCAATAAGGACACGTGCAGGGTCCTGCACCTGGGGAGGAATAACCCCAGGCACCAGGACAGATTAGGGGTCGACCTGCTGGAGAGCAGCTCCACGGAGAGGGACCTGGGAGTCCTGGTTGACACTACGTTAACCATGAGTGAGCAGTGTGCCCTCTTGGCCAAGAAGGCCAATGGGATCCTGGCCTGCATCAGGAGGATGTTGCCAGCAGGCCAAGGGAGGGGATCCTGCCCCTCTSCTCAGCTCTGGTGAGGCCACACCTGGAGTATTCGGGGCAGTTCTGGGCTCCCCAGGACAAGAGGGACATGGAGCTTCTCAAGAGGGTCCAGTAGAGAGCAACCAAGATGATTAAGGGACTGGAGCATCTGTTTTATGAAGAAAGGCTAAGTGAGTTGAGGCTGTTKAGCCTGGAGAAGAGAGAAAGTCTGATCCACATGAGGAAAGAATGTAGGGAGGATGGGGCTAACCTCTGTGGCAGCCAGGGGCAGGACAAGGGGTAATGGGTACCAATTGAAACACAGKCAGTTCCATCTCCATGTGAGGAAGAACTTCTTTCCTGTGAAGGTGACAGAGCCCTGGCACGGGCTGCCCAGGGAGGCTGTGGAGTCTCCTTCTCTGGAGATCCTTGAAACCYGCTTGGATGCAGTCCTGTGCCCCGCGCTCTAGGTGACCCTGCGTGTGCAAGGGGGTTGGACTGGATGACCTCTGGAAGTCCCTTCCAACCGTAAGCATTCTATGATCACTCAGCTGAAGACTTGAGATGGCAGCATGTGTCCAAATCCTGCACATTTCTTCTGAAGGAAAGGCATTCCRGCAGTAATTCYGGTCTTTGGAGGAGTTGTGTAKCTGAAGGCATCAAAGCAACAGGACAAGGAATATGACAGCATACAAGAAGCTGGACCCTCTTACAGTGCTCATCCAGGTGTCTCATAGAGATGACATCCATTCACCTTCTCACTAGTGTTCATCAGGCTGGTGCATTCCACATAAAAGGCTCTGATGCGTTTTCATTAATCTCGGAAAATGCAAACGTTGTGTTTAGCATTTGTACATTCTAGAGAAAGGCCATTTTTTTTCTCCTGCTGTAATTCACTCCCCGTGCCTTCCTTGAGAACCCATTTAGCACCAAGTCCTAAATGACTTAGGACTACATGAGTCAGATTCCTGTATACGTGGCAGTAGCAGGGTGCTACACACTCAGCTTAGCACCTCAAGCCAGCCCAAGCCCACGGGGGCAAGAGCAGCGCCAGGGACCCACCATCATGGCCAGGTAGCTCTRCTGGCAAGAGCCTGGGGACACGGTCTCGCCTGGGGCGGCCAGGGACACTGACCTGGGGCTGGCAGCAGAGAACAGGGCCCAGCAGCCGCGGAATCCTCCTYGCGCCACATCCACGCTGCGCTCAGGCACTCAGAACTGAACAGGCCACCACGCAGAACACCAGAGCAAGCTTTTAATAGGCCATTTTTATTGAGAGTTAAGATCATAGTGATTCCCATGGTGTGTGATGCACCATGAACACAAATACAGAAGATTGCTTCAGTAAATACACACCGGTTAGGCAACGCTACTTTTGGCAAAGTGCTCTATTTTGTCATTTTTCAGCTTGTATTAAACTATTAAAAGAGCCAGACATTCTTCAGTATCAAAAGGACTGCTACAAATSGAGAAGTGGCTCTGGAGAGAAGCTGCCATATATGCATAGTCTGAATGTACAGTATCAATCATAACTGAAATGTCCCTTTTGAATCTTCAAGTTTGCTGTGTAAAGTTACACCGAAAGGCACAGTTTTGTTTAAAATGYAAGTCTGTCCATTGACGAACACATACGAAAACTCAGTTTCAGCAAGATTCATGAGTATCAATCAGCATCTGAGACAGTGCAAGGCCTCCGCTTTGACCAGAGAAAAAAATCCAAATATACCATAATRTAATTCAAAACCATATAAAAAGCCACACAGTTCACGATCAAAACAGAAAACCAGAACAAATCTAATTGCCCAACAGCTCCAGGCACAAGATGGGGCTAGACCAACATAAATAGGCAAAACAAATTAACAAAAAGCCACTGATGCAGTACTCTAATCTCACACAGTAATACAGCTTCCAATATTACAAACTGAGAAGCACAGCTTTGTGCAACAAAACAGTTTATATCCTGAAAGATATAGGCTTTCATCACCAGAAAGGTATCTAGCAATGTAGTATAAAAAGATCAGTATCTCCCAATTGTAGGAGCAGTCTGAAGTTGCATTTACTTGCCTACTTTAAAATAAAAAACACTCCCCCCCCCCCAAAACACACACATACAGACCAAGACTCTCATTCTACTACCTGGGAGCCTTTATCCTCCTGACTCCATCTCTTCATTAAAAGAGAAAGGATTTCTTGCTCCTTCCGATACAGGGAGGTGGAAACTCCTTCCTTCATTTAGCTTTAAGAAAATTAAAGCTGAAGGAGAGTAGTTGCTTATATATAAAAAAAAGAAAACACAGGATTTTTCCTGAGCTAGAAAGCTGGCAGTGAAGAGAAGGAAATATAAGTTAGGCAAAGAGTTGGAGTGATACAGGTAGATAACCCGAGGCAAGTAAGAGCGTTTTTGTCAGCGACTGCACAGGGGCTGCTGAAGCTACAGCTGTTTGCAGACAAACAAGCCAGAGCTTCGGGACCACGGTGCTGCTGTACGGACACGGGCACACACTGCTGAGAAGGGTATCAAGGAAACCTCAGCAGAGCAGGGTTTGTTTTCTTTCCCTGTCCACATGGGAGTCTATGACCAACACGCAGCCAGGAGAGCACCGCTCGGTCTCGCAAACACACACCGACAGGAGTGCAGCGTGCAGCAATCCCACCTGACCCAGGAAGGGGCCCCTTCTGCAGCGACCCCAAGGCTGCAAGGGCCCTTTYCTGGGCATCACGTACAGGCCGCAGTGGCTCCACGGGCGGAACGTTCCGAGCCAACTACAAGAACTACATTTAAATTGCTCCAATTTTGCTTCTGTCAAATTAAAACATTTGGTCAAATTGAGAAACATATTGTAGGTCTAGAATAATTCACAGTACTGCTCTTACCTAAATTTCAAAGGCTTCCTACCTGACTTCCTACACCAGCATCTGTGAAAGAGCTACTGGAAGACATGGTTGAATATAACATTAATACATTAGCACTCTAAGAACTAAATGCAGTAAAACAAAGAAGAGCAAATGTTTCTTATTTTTCTCCCTTTCTTCTGGGACTTGCTTCCTCCCTTCTATAATCATTTAACCCAAATCCCAGGTTGATCTGTCAGGGTTCAATGTATCATGTGGCTGCATCAAACACTAAACTTTACCTTTTGAGTACCTGCCTCCTTCAAGCAGCATGTGGAAAAAAATATTGATAGTTTTGAACAGCTCTTCCTCCACCACTTATATCCAGTCTGTCTCCCCAAATGTTTGGGATCCAACAGGAAAGCCACCACTGCTGATGCACCTGAGGTTTCTACACATGCTGCTGTCACTGCGGTTAGTCCTGCAGGGCTGCTTCTCCCTGCCACAGGCTGCCCAGGAGCTGCTAACTCAGCATTATTTTAGCCAAGAGAATTGGGAGAACTTCTGACAAATTCTTTCTTCTAGTGATTTTTGAGCATCTCTCAACCTGTGATAACGTAACAGCAATTAGCAGCTCGGGAGCAGCCATCCATCAGCTTAACTTAATGCAGAACAGCTGACCCATCCCTTTTTTCCTTCAACAGACTAGAGATTGAACACAACAGGTTAGTTTGTTCTGTCTTTGGAAAAAAAAGGTTTTAAAAAACAAAGAGAGTGGAAAAACAGCAAGGTATTAGAGAAAAAGAGCACTAAACCCCCTAGACAATTTGGCTCTGGATCATTTGTCTACGCTTACCTATAGGTCTATTCCTCCTTTCACTCCRCTGTGAGGTACTACATCTGTAACACCAGTGTCCTGTTGTACTGCAGAAATAYTGGGGACATTTAACCCTTTTCTGACACCCATATAAAGTGTCTGACCACCTACTGACTCCACTCTCAACGCAAGSAGTACGAGGCAATGCAGATCAGAGGCCCTTCTTGAAAGAGTTCAGCACAGCTAGCTAATATCCATTGGCAGCTATAGTTTTGTTAGAGTATACTCATAGATGCTGAATGCAAATACACAAGCTGTCAAGTTCTGGTCATTTAAGCTAACCTCAAATTTTCTAACTCCATTTTGATTAATGCGAAAGTGGAACCAGTTTTTCCACCAGTTAAAAGTTTCTTTAAAATACCAACTAAATACCCATTTATACATCATAGTTTATAAAGACGTCACACCAACTATTGTACTGATAGGCTTCCAAGACACCGCTATTTAACGCCACCGTTGAGGACTCAAGGCAGGCCGCCTGGGGACACACGTGTCACTCCAGACAAGCCTAACGCTAGTGGTGATTGTGGCTGAGGAACCGCTGATCAGCTTCAGATTGACCACGCTTATCTTCTATGCACGAAAACAAGAGCAACCTAAGAAACAGAAGTACACAAAATGGCTGGAGACCCCGAGAGGCCTCAGTAATTGAACTGACGCTGGCAGGGCTGGTGCACAAACAGTCCGTTGTGCCTGGTCTGCCGGGAGGGCCCTTCCCGGGCGAGATTCAGGCGCCGGAGGCCGTTTCTGGTGGGACAGAGTCTTTCGTTACGGTCCTTCACGCGGCGGCTGGGCCAAAAGCTCTTGTTTTTCTCCAGGAGACGAGCGGTAAGAGTGGCCACGTAGCAGTGAACACGCTGTCCCAGCTCACTTCGGGCCTCCGTTCTGAAACGGAACAAGCACCTGTCAGTCTGTTTGAAAGGGAAGACAAAGCTATAAAGAGGGCATGAGGACATCGATGGCGACATCCAGCATTTCAAAAGGGAACCCTCAGGCTACTGTATGGGACAAAGATTTGGGCTGAAGTTACGCCAAATTTAACAAACCATGCTGATAAGCAAAGCTTGTTGCTGCTAACTCTCCTTTTCCTCTTAAAAGCAATGCAGTAGCCCAGGGTCATCCAGCATCCCCTTCCATCTCCCAGCCCTCCAGGTGGGAAGTGTAACATGCAGAAGCCAGAGGCAGTGTCACCCTGGCTGGTCTTTAGAAGACTTGGATGTGTTCACTAGGAAACAGCTGCCTTAAAAGATCACCTTGGACACAAGTTATTCAGGCTGAAAACAGGACATGGGCTAGCAAAGATGCTGTTTGGATTGGTAGCCATGCAAGTAAATCCCAATCACATCCATATGCAAGTAGGAGAGAGAGAAAGCAGCTGTGACGCCCTGGAAACAGCTTAAAAGGAACTTTCCTCAACCAGACCTCTGATTTCCTGAGCAAAGAGCCAGCAGATTTGGCAAATCCCTGCTCCATCATGCACTAGTTAAGAGAGCAGCCAATGCAAGCAGGGACTGAGCTGAGACAGGACGGCCCTGCTCCACAGAACAATCACTGGTGCTTCCTGAAGCTTCCGAAAGGAGGATAAGAATAGCTTGGCAGATTTAAAAATACAGCAAASCCCAAGTCTGTGTGCCACATCAATCATGTGGCAGGGAAGTTATTTCTTCCTCTCCCTAATCACCAGGGGACAACTGGTGCTCTGCACCTGATGCCAGGAAAGGGCTTGTGAGACCTAGGCTTGCCCAAGCATGAGCAAGAGCCTCTTGGGAAGTCTGTTTTTCAGCACTAAGGAAACTGCTCCAGGACAGAAGCCTCTGCCTGGTTTAACCTGCATTTATTGCTTACGGTCTCTATGGTCCAATGGAAAGTCCCCAAGAGGAGCCTGGCCTGCCATGGCCCCGTCCATCTCATCAACCTTGCTCCCAGTAAGGGGCTGGGGGACACACGTGTCACTGGCACAGGAGCCAGGTGCTGTGCTCCCACTCTGGGCCACGCTGTAGAGGACACTCCTTGCCAGTAGGAAGCCTTGCTCCTAAAAAACCCTGCCCTTTCCCCCTTTTTTACTCCTCTCCCCTCTTTCAAATACCAAAATCCACTTGTTTTTGCTGCCATGGTAGCTGCAGTGGAAAGGACTGAGAGGCAGAGGACAAGAGGAGCCATGCACGACACCCCAGCCGTCCTGCTTGTTCAGACGGAGCCTTAGACTTAACATGGGAAATACGAAGCAAGAAAGGGAGGGAACAAGTTAGCCCAGATCAGTTTGCAGGAGTTTGCAGTCTTTTCCTACACTAATTAGAGCAGTTCAGCTTACATGGAGCTTATGTTGTCTGCACAAATATARAGCTACTGTTTTCTAGGTATGGCAATTATTGAACACACTCAACAGTGCTGGAGCTCCCACTGAGGCATTACTAAGGGATCCTGTAAGGAGCTAGGAGGCCTCAACACCTCCTGCTCTTAGGATGGGCATTTCCTCAACATGCCTTTGCTTCATGTCATTAAGCTCATGAAGATCAACTGTCAATGCAGCACTGTGGTTTATCATGGAACAAACAGGGCTAACTCCAGGAGAGGGGAAGTTCATGCAATAGCCTTTTGCTCTCAAAGGAGTTTCACAAGGGAAAAGGAGAGACTTCTTCCACAGAAGAGGAAAAAAAAATTAGTTGATCCAGGATATTTCAGCCTTTTCCTTTGCTGTCACATATTCATCCAGCACTTGCTTGTAAGCCAATACTTTTTACTTGCTATCTTTTTAAGATGAAAGCTGGGACAGCAGAGCTAGAAGTTGCTGGAARGCCATGGACTCCTCTGAAACGTGGCATCTGGCATCTTAGTTGTTGCTCATGGTGGCCTGGCACTCATGAACACCAGGCACTGGGGAACAGTGCTGACTAGTSTTGACCACTGCAGGCAGAGCGTCCCTTTAGAGAGGCTAAGTCTAAAACTGCTGCTATTTTACACTTTCTAACATAGCCCCAGCATCTATTTTGCTGAAAAGCAGCTGACGTGCCCTGCTAGTTGCACTACATGAAGAGACTGCAAGAAAAATTGTAATTTTCCTGCACTTAGCATTTTGGGCTCGTTAAAGCAGACGTAGTTAGGCTTGATCTAGTAACATCATTTGGCACAAAGGTTAGTTCTAAAACCAGTATTGTTTTGGCATAGAAGGCTCTAGAAGAAGCAGTATTGCTAGCGGACTAATCAAACAGGTCCCAAAACAGCAGTACTTACTGTGCCAGTGTGCCTTAAGCAGCTTTTCTTGGCCCTACAATGTTAAATGGCCAACCATTAAACCACTAGAGATTTCAAACAGCTTGAGAAACTTTATGCATCAGTRTCATTGATTTCCCCCATTTCTGTAYTTTACTGCASCTTTAGACTTTAAACKATGCCCAGTTTTGCCACCCAGAACACTTCTCACATGCAGAAAACTAGATCCCCAATGCAGCACTGCCACCAGCACCACACTCAGCAGGGAGACCCCTGACCACACACCTCGGGGTTCAGGATCACACCTTTAGTTTCCTCAACACATTCAGGGCTTTAGCTGCTTCACACGATGCAAGATTAGCCTCTAGAATCATTTACATCCTCATCGCTAGTTCACAGGTCACTAAAACAAGTCAGTAAATGACTGTGCTTGTTACTGTCCACTGGAGATTAACAGCGTGTATGAACTGGGCCATCTTTGGACTAGACTGTGTCACACCTAAAGGGATACAGTAGTTCTGCAGATTCCCTCAGACCCCAGTTTTTAGGGGTGCTGTGTGCTCAGAGCTTTCATCTGATTTAAGCTAATCCAGACCTTAGATGCTCAAAGCCACAAACTATTCTTCCCAAATAGTCAGATCCTTAACCTCAGAGGATAAAAAAAAATGTGTATCAATGCTATGCTTCAATATTACACACCAATATATGTCTTCTCCCAACAAAAACCACCCATTTATTTGAACGAGCAGTTTCAAATATAGCAAGGACCTATTTGTAAGTTAACAGGGAGGGAACAACTTCAGTCCCTGGAACAACCTCACCACTCACTGGCACTGTTCTCTGTATGACAAAGCTCACTACTAAAAGTTTTTAATCATTTCTAAGGGTAAGCACCACCAAGAAAAAAAAAAATCAGCCTTTGTTGCTAACCAGGATTCAAACGCATACATGGGCAACAGAGGAGTCTTGATGCTCCTCCCCCAAATAACATATACATACATGTATAAATACAGTATGTTTGTATAAAGGTACAGACCATATGTCTAACACCAATAAAATAACAACAAGCATAGGTCTGTAGTCATTCTCTGTAGTTGGCTCTTTGGGACCTACAAAACCTAGCAGCAAAGTTTCCAACCTCTCTAAAAACAGAGGTTGACGTAGTCAGCCTGCAAGCAACAAGTCTGGTGAAAATTCAGTTGGTGAAACAAACCAAACATGCCAAACCTTAACTTATCACTGCATCAGTCTGTGTCCYGCACTGCCACCCTCAACCACAATGGGGAGAGGGTCTTTCGCCTTAATGTGACTAAAGGGGCACTAACACTTACGAAAACTCAAATGGAGGCTACGGAGGGGCCAAAGTGCTTTCAAGTTCGTATCATCAGCTCCATAATTTATTGCCACCAGTTTCAAGAGGACTGGAGTGTGTTTTATGAGGAAACAGGCCCCATAAACATCTATTTTAGTGTCTAACTAACCCATCTGATGGCTCAAGATACCCAACTGCTTTCCGGCACAGTCACCCTGTGTAACATTTCTCTAAGCAGGCATGAAGCTCTGACCAGCTTACCCCACCTTCTGTAGTATTCATGCTTTATTCACTGGCTCTGAAATAAGCTGGAAAATTCAGTATTAAGTGTCTGAGCTAAACAAGCAGAAACCAGATATATTTAGCAGCAGAGGTGCTTGGCAAGCAGTTTGCTTGGCAAGAGAAGTCRGACATACCTGGGACTACCTGGGCTGTGAAACTCCTCCTTTGCACAGCCACTCTCACTGAGGCCRTGGCAAGTGTTATGGACAGCATACACGGACATGCTGGGATGCTCTATCAGAAGGTTCTCCATAGGACTCGTTTCCACTTTTATAGTGGTTAATCCACCTGCAGTAAAACACGGGGGAGGGGTGATAAACCAGCTCTCCTCCATGGGGCACGAATCAAACTGGATGAAACAGGAGTCGGTGGCCTCCGGCAAGCGTTCCAAGGGAGCTGGCAGGCACGGGAAGACGGGAGAGCTGTCGGCAGCCGAGGGCTTGGCCAGGTCCTCCTCCTCTGTGGAGCAGCTAGTGCAAGTGTCCGCTGGAGGCAGCAGCGGGGAGGTTGGGAAGACACCGTGGAGGTTGGTGGTTGCAGGAGACGGAGCACAGCGAGGTCATTTGTAGTCAGAAACAGGACAGAAAAAACAAAGAGACAGAAATAAGCCACTATCAACATGTACACAAAACCTTTTACAAGCAAGGGGAGGGGAATGGGAGTCACAGCACACGTTAGACACGCAAGACAACTGCTATCAGCAGAGCAATGCAATTGTGAAATATGTCAAATGTTTTATCTGTACAAATGGTTCTGCTGAAGCCCAAGTGTAAAGCTCAAACATGACATCACTTTCTCATCCGTTTACATAATGTTTGGTAGGTTTGTTTGGAAAGCACCCCATGCTTAACCKAAGCTAAAACAGCAGGGATTAAAGTTCCTTCTGAGTCACCAGTATCTTTCTCTGGAAAGATGACAAACAGAACTAGAGCAGGAAATAGGCAGAACTTGTTTTTGACAAGTATCTCACCTATAAAATCAACCAGAATCCATTCTTCATCCTCCTTCTCACTGAACTCAGGCTCCTGGCTGGACAAGCTCTCAATCTCTCCCATGAACATGTTATTTAACCGCCGGAACATTACTAAGGCAGGAGAAAGACTTTGGTCTCTAGGTCCTTGTGTGCAAGGTTCAAGGCACAGCTCACACTGTACTAGCAGAGTGGCACAGACTTGACGGCAAAGTGCAGAGACGCTTTATCAGCTTAGGTACAGGACATGCCGAGTCATGACTGGCAAACACTTCATCTGAGACCTGCAAAAAGACAACAGGGACTTAATGACACAGCCAGAAACTACATCCCTGTGGAACAAAGGGAAAGAAAAGAAAAAATACAAGCACCATCCCCCGCCACGCCTATTATTAGTCTAGTTTGAGGTAGCAGAGAAAGTATTTCCCAGCAGGAAACACAGCAGCCTCACTAGTGCTCCTCACTCCCTCCCAGCCAGATCTCTCCTCACAGAGATGTGAGCCTTCCTCTCCAACCCTCCTCCCACACAAAGGTCCCTTTGGCTCCTGAGCCCCCCCTCTCTCATGCCAACAGGGAAAGGACATTCACACAGAGATGCTGCATCTGAGGCCTTCATCTCTCCCATCCTCCTCCTGCACAGAGGGAARGGCAGAAGGGCAAGTGAAGCAGCAAACTGCACCTTTTCTGTTTAGGAACCGCACAGCTCAGCACACCCAAACGCACCCCCTGAAGGCTCCCCAGGGTGCTCAGGGCARCATTTGCCCCTCTCTTTCCTTATCATGCAGAATTCAGGGCCACTGCCGACCAGSCAGCAGCAAAGAACAAACTGTCTTCAGGTTCTAAGTGCACTTGCTGCCTAGTTATCTGTGCAGGCTTCTCACAGCAGGTGTGTAAGAAAGTGTACAGAAAGTAGCTACTGTAGATTTTAATTAAAAGCAACCGTTTTTCAGCAGTGTATTTCCCTAAATCTACATTCAATGACAATCACTGTAGGCCTGAACTCTATTTACATTTCAAAGTAAAGACCAAAAAATMCTTTAACTATTGACAAGGTGAACATCCAGCCTTCCCAGATCACCATAGTTGCACTCAAAATATTCATGCATTGATCCAATAAACAGAAGCCACAGAATMGCTAAAGAAGTAACTAAGTAATAACTAAATGCTATATAGGAATAACATCTAGTAATTTGTGATTAAATCAGTTTCACCATAATAGTATTGGAACTAGCATAGCATGTTTGGACAGCTAGTGATTAGAGATTAAATACCCATTTTAATAATTAAACAGGCTAAAAGATACTAATGTAAAAGTAAGAATGTCTCCACAGTCAAAAAACAAGTCACCAAAGGAAAACCTTCAAATACAATCAGCCATTAACATATATATTACAGAAAATCCACAAAGTGTTACTGAAGTGGTTTATGCTGTAATATTCAGTCCAAACCAAAGGGTCATTTCTGCCTACAGTGGTCCTCCAGGGCAGACCCCATCACCTACTTGTTAAGTGTAGCAATCAGCAACTGCTTCCTGCAGCACTGACCCCTACACGCAGGCATTAATGCAGCCACCTCCTATCTGGAGAGGTACAGGAAGGCGGACGTCAAAACCCTCTCCACAAGTCAAAAGCAACACGAAGAAGTGCAGTGTGATTTAAGAAATTAGGTACTCGGTAATCCTTAGGAACAATTGGTCCAGCTGCATTTGTGATAAGAGGGTATTACAGATTACACACTGAATGCATGCCAACAATACTGTATTGTTGCACAAAAAGGGCAAATGCCACAACGGGCCATATTTTGCAGTCAATACTCTTGTACTAAGGGCTAACCCACTAGCTCTATTCATCCCTGCTAAGGCCTCAGTTAAATCTGTACCTAGTTCCCAGCAGCAGCCTTGAAGTCCAACAGACAGACAAATCCAGACCCAAACTATGCAAATGATCAGAAGTCTAAGGCTGTGTGAGAAAAAATGAGGGGAAAAAGAGGAAAAACACCAAGCCGACAGCCACAGTTAAGCATGCGGGCAGGCAGACAGACAACTGGTTACCCCTGTCCAAAATGTGCACTAGGCAGATGCAGCAGGGGCTTCTATTTGCACTTTGATTCAGTTTTTGCTGATTAGCAGGAAAGCTTAAGCCACAGACACTGCAAAACCCAGGCAGATTTTCTAGGGGAACACAGCACTTCCACACACAGCAGCTACAAAGCATCCCCCTCCGAAGGTCTCGATACTTAAAACACAGACAGAACYTGCCGTGGTGGGGGGCAAACACCACTCGCGGGCCGAGCGCGCAGCCTGCAGCTCTCCGGTTATCTTCTGCATCTAYCCATGACACTCCTGGCACCAAGCCTGCGGGAACGGGACAAAACAGCGGTCAGCTTTCCCGAGCACGGCCGCAGCGCGGGGCTCCGGCAGCACCGACACCTCCGTGCGGCCGCGGCCGCCCTCAGCCCCGCGCGGGAGCCCGGCGAGCCCCGGCGCTGCCGCCC